CTCCTTAAGGGTACCACAACTCATGCTAAATTTTACTGAGTTTACAAAGATAAAAAAAAAAAGTGACTCTGCATCAGGGAGGAAGCTATATAGAGGTACACTGAGCTCCAGGGGCCGTGGTGGAGCTGTGATGAAAAAAACCACTGGAATGATCCTTTAAATAAAGAATCAGACCACAGGCTGAACCACAGCTGAGTCATTCAGCCAAGGAGATACGTCACAGAAACGACAACGTCACGGGGCCCACGGTCTGGAACATATACATGACAACAGAACATCGACCCTGACCTTCAGCTGAGGATTACAACACTGGGGTCACGAGTAATTACAGAGAGTGCCGGCAGAAACCAAAAGGTTGGTTAAAACTACTAGGATTGTTTCTTTATATAAACCAGGGCTACTCCTGGAACCTTTGGGATCACCCCAGAAAGGATCTTTACTGCAGAACATATGTTAGATTTAAATAGTAGAATATTAGGGCTGTTGTATTTGTATTGTATTTATGATGAAACTAGATCTGCTGCTATTTATATACGTAACTAAATGTCTAGAAATCTAAAAAAAATAAAATAAAAAATTTAAATGAAGGAAACTCTGATAGTAGTCAAATCCTGTCTTCATATCCTCTATCTAGATCAGGGGTCCCCAAACCCGGGTCCGAGGACTGCTACCTGTCCGTAGGTCATTTGGTACCAGATTAAAAAAAAAAATCCAGTCAAATCCCTTTCCTTTTTTTCATTAACAGATAATCTGACAATGTTTCAGAACAACAGGTGATTCAGATTCTGATACTAACAGAATAAAGTTGAATCATTGAAAACTAAACAATCCTTCAACAATGGCGTGGTATTAACTTGTCCTTGGTAGGTAGGTTGGTAAGTTGGGGGACCACTGACCTAGATTATAGATTTTGCTATCTAGATTATAGAATTATTTTATTAAGACAATATATATGTGTGTTTAGATTTGTCTTGACTCACTGTCTTTATAAAGTGTTAGACGTAGCATCAAACTGTTGCCGTGGAAACTAATTCCGTCTCACTGTGTACTTGATATGGCTGAAGACAATAAAACCCACTTGAACTGATGGTGGAATTATTGGAGTTACAATCACTTACATCACAATTTAATTAACGTCATTAACACCGTAATTTGTCAGCCCCCCCCCCCCCAAAAAAAACCCAACAATCTGATGTTGTTTTTTTGTTAAACAACACAAGACAATTACTATCCAGTATCATAAGACCAAAGTACGGACAAAATAGAACATAAGACGAAAAGTCAAGAAATATAACAGGGCATTCATCATTTCAGTCTCCTACAGAAACCACCAGAACCAGAAGCTGCCAATCCTGTCCACACACACACACAGACACACACACAGAAAGAGAGAGGGAGACAGTGGAACATTTGACTACGTCAAGTTGCGACTGTTTTTACATTGCACTGGAGACAGGGTAGGGTGGGGACTTAATGTGGGACATAAAGAGGTGTGAAAAGTCTCCAAGTGAAAGATGGTAGGGGATTCCGACAGTACATTACCAAGTGCATGTGTGGGTGAAGACAGTAGATCACTGCCAGCTTTAGGACAGTGGAAAAAGGAGCAGATTAAGTATAAAAGTAGGGGGGAAAAAAGTGAAACAAAATATAGACATGAATATGGAGCAGACAGCAGACTGGAGCCCTTAAACCAAAATATTAAGAACACACATATACTTAGTTCGTCTGATTTAATCAGGAGCCGACCACATGCTGAGAAGAAAGTCTAAAATTTGGATACGCTGAGGGGAAAAACGGGAAAAGAGGTGGAACTACAGAGAAAACGAGTGGATGAAGTAACGGAGGACAAAGATAATTATTAATTATGGAAGAGATGGAAAAAGGTAGGGGGAAGGGAGCAAGAAAAGTATAATTCATTTTGATGTAAATTGGAAGGAATTTTCTGGACATATTTTAATAATCCAATATATATATGTAGTGTGAAAAAGATCACCTGGATAAATGACTTCTTAATGGGAGTCAATCGGATTATGGCATAATAAAACGGTGATAAAAAAAAGACAACATGCTGGTTTCATGGCAACTTCCTGTTCGGGATTTTTAGCAGATAAAACTGACTGTTGCATAACGTACGGATTACGTAAGAATGTCTGTGTAAAAACTCTGATCCATGTAAACAGAGATCTATAAAACTACACCTTCAAAGTTCTCAGTCCTGCTGCTGTAGCTTGTTTGAGTTTATCAAAAGAAAATAATTCCATCCTCAAATGCCCTTTTTTTTACATCTCAGGAAAAAAAGAAGAATTATTCAGAGTTTCTTCCTGAAAGCATACCTAGAGTGTGTCTACGGTCGTGCACAAACACAGCCGCACTGATCAGTGAACTGTCTCACCTCCAAAATACACAAAGGATTGGCCGCGTGTATGATAATAAAATCCCCACGGGGCCAGGACTGAGTCATGGGAATACAACAGAGGGGAGCGACGTTGGAACGATCACATGAGACTTAACTCTTCGACTGCAATCCAAGAACATGGACAACTAGGAACTACTACAACTTGAAGTATCTGCCGATACCAATATTATTCCAATACTTTTTTTCTGGGCTTAGGTATCGGATCAGGAGGGTCCTTTAGTTGTTTCGTTTTTTTTTTTCAATGTTTGATCCTGATTTTTTTACTTTTTGTATCGCACCGATACTGATCCTGAGTATTGGATCAAGCTGTACATACTGTATATCTGAGGAAACAATGCCAGCATTGACCAGCAGGTGGCAAAAATGTTATACTCACATAAACACTAACTGCCATAAATATAAATATAAGTCGAGGGAATGTGACAGAATCAGCAAAAACTATGGTTCAAACATAAGCATCTTTTAGACTAGACAGATACAAACGACTCACTAGCATGTTAGGTTAGCCCTGGAATTAGCATAGGGTTGGTGTCTACAGTTCTACACAGCACTTTATATCATGTACCAAAAATAAATAATGTATAATGTTTAATGACAACAATAATAATAATAATAAAAACGTGTTAAAAGTCTACAATAATGCTGTTTTTCTTCCCTTAAAAAACCTCAGAAACCTGTTCTAAATATGTTCATTTTAATATCCAAACAATTCACAGCGCCTCAGTCCGTGTCCTCATGAGCTCTAGGTCTGTTTGTCAACTGAAATTACAAACAGACACCATCCATCCCACAGACACGCGCGCACACACACCCACATCACTGCTGCTCGCAATTAAAGCCTCACTCTGCCGTGTCAGCAAACAAAATACAATAAAAAAAAAACTTATCAAAACAAAATGCAGGAACCCTTCTCCTCATGTTCTGTGGAAAAACAGCAGAGGAGGCGCCAAGAATAGCACAGACTGGAGTTTTCTGAGGCAGAGGAACAATAAACTGGATGACAGCAGCAACACACCCACGTTTGGATGAAAGAAATGAAAAAAAAAAAACTAGAAAAACACTAATATGTTTTCATGTTGAGGATAAAGAAGGTCTGGTTAAGTTAGGAAAGACACATTCTGTTTTGTCTCATCGGATGCTAAGACTGTCTGATAGAAACGACAATAATAAAGTGAGAAACAGAAAACGGCACACCGAGTGAGACACCAATGTGTGTGTGTGTGTGTGTGTGTGTGTGTGTGTGTGTGTGTGTGGTGGTTGGGGTTGTGTGGTGGTGTTGGGTATGGGGGCAGGGGGGCAGTTGACATTTAAAGGCAGGGTAAGAGTGTAGGCGTGGGGTTGTGTGGTGAAAAGGCCATACTGTGTAACTCTACAGTGGGAGGCCATGACTGATATCTGTGTGTAAAGATGGATGTGTGTGTCTCTGTGTGTGTGATCTCCACTAAAGGTGGTTGCAAGACCAAGAAAATAAAGAAAAGAGAAAAAAAAAACACTGACCACATTTATGTTAAAGAAGCAAAAACAGAAACACCAACAGTCAGACTTAGCTCTGTTTAAAACATGTGTAGACATGTGATTCTGACTGATATCCATTTTTCATCACTGGCCGACCTCCTCCTGATGTCTCACTTTAAATCCAACCTTGAAATGTCATTTTGGTTGCAGTACTACTGATGGCCAGCAGAAGGAGTCTCTTTCAGATTCCTGACTATTGCCCAATTATCTGATGGCATAATGATTGATGATGATGTTGAAGAAAGATACCAGTTTACTGATACTTTATCTGTTAATGTGAGGGGATTGATTGACAGACTGTAAAAAAATCATTGATTTCTCATTGGACTTTGGTAAGAAAATATCACAGCCACCCGTTCTACTAACTGAACCACAGCCAGAAGGACTTGAACTCCATAACATTAAGGGTTGGTTTCACAGACTAGTTGCTCAGTTACAGCAGTATGGTTTGAACTGGATTACTTGAGCCTCTGCCACTGTTTGGTCTCCAGATCCACACTGTTAAATGGTGTTTTCAATTTCACTCCAACCATTAGAGCAACAGCATGTGCTCATACTTAGGCTTACGTACCTTACTCTATGACTCTAAAGTCTCCAACTTAAACCAAAAGCTACTTAGATGTCCCAGTTTATTTAGTATGGATTAAGGACAGTCTGTGAACCCAGCCCTAAGAGGTTTAAAACAGAAATGCATGAACATTGGTCTTACTTGGACACTAGGTACTGCCTGGTAGGACGCATCGGAGCAGACGCCCGTACACAACCTGAAGAGGTTTTTCATCACCCGCTGCTTCTCTGCTCTTTCGGTGACATCACTGACTGTTTCTCAACCACACGCACCAAGCGGCCAACAGCGTTCAAACTACCTGAAGGCTATCAGAGTATGTTCTAGTCTTCTCGAGTGCAGAGGAACACAGTCTGCCTCTGCCCAACGGCAGCTGCATGGGAAACCCTGTAGGACTCTGCCAGGTGTGGGTCGTTAGCTCATCACAGGCCCCAGACGAGGTGCTCGTCAGGGTGGAGGTAAACCTTCCTCTGTAAAGTAAGTAGTAGTGTGTTTGACTCCTACCTTGTCGCTGTCTACAGTGTTCTGTGACGTCCTGGAAGCGATGGAGATGGTGTCTGGTTGGCTGCTGCCATCTCCCTGACTGTCACCATCCTCACCTGCCTCCCTGATTTAACACACACACACACAGGCACAATTCAAATGAATATCAATATATATGTCAATAAATAAATACAAACAAGTAGAGAAATAGAATAATGGCAAAAAGATAGTCGGTTAGCGACAGTTATCCAAAAAAAAAAAAAAAAACCCGCAAATCAATACTATATAATTAATAGAAACAGATGAGTAAATTGATAAAATAAATTAAAAAATAAAAAAAAAACATATTTTTTTAGTTTTTATTTTTCCTTCTGGTGAAGTCTCTGTGTTTACCTCTTTGTGTTGTTCCTCGGTTTGGTCAGTGCTGGTGTTTTAGGCAAGTGAAGAGGCTCCTTGAGCGCCCCCTTCAGGTGAGTCATTCTCTCCTGAATCACCTCCCTGATGTTTTTGATCCACTCCTGTTTGGCTTCCATACTGGATGCCTAGACGATTAACAATGTGAGAATATGATTATAAATGCCTCACGTTCAACCCAGAAATAAAATAACAGAAATTTAAACTTTGACCGACTTTAAGCACTGTTTTGTTGTCGGAGGACGGAGTTCTTCCCGCCCACAGAGCAAATTTACAAGGGTCGCCCTCAATGTGCTCGGTCACCCCCAACTCTGACGTCTGCGGTAAAACGAAACAGGAGACACACGTTAGTCAGGAACAGTTCCATTTGTGTAGCTGCAGTACCCACTTTACCCACCAGTAGTCTGTTCTTGTACTGGTACTTGGTTCTGCCCGCTGAGTCTTTGATGTCCTTGCTGAAGACAAGCGAAAACTCAAACAGGAAGAGGTGTCGATCTCTGCCCTTCCTGATCAGAGAGCGTGGATCCCAAACCTGGAAACTGTCCTGCAGGATGAGTTCACCCTGAACTTCCAGGTTCTCCTCAAAACCTGAGGAACGAGGAATGAAAATGAGGTTCCAGTCACACAGATCCCAAATGAACACATTTATATTTTTGTCACGAAGTGAATATAACAAGGTATTAACTCTATATTCTTTATGGACACTTTCTTTAATTTTTTAATGTCCAGTATGCAGAAAATTACCCTTATACAGTCTTTTGAATGTATTTGGAACAATGTCAGGTAAATAAATCTGGTTGGTGGCAGTTATGTTATTTTTTTTTTACTTTATATCAAATGAATGCAAAATATATGTCCCAATATTGTGGGTCACAAAATAGTGGGTGCTCATTGCTATTGTACCAAGGCCACTCCAGTCTATCTGTGTCTATAAAGGACATGTCCAAAGTCTGGCTAGCGGATCAATTGCAGCCCATGGACAAATTTTATATGACTCTGCCGATGGTTGTTTATAAGGAATATAAAGTCCATTCGAGTCATGCTGCTGTATATGACAAGCTCAGACAACATTAATTACAAATGATATATAATGTTTAATATCTAGTTAATTAAAATAAATATATGTGGTTTGCAATACAAAAATACATAAACTAGTGGATTAGCATTTAAAGTTAACGGTACTGGGCGTTCACTTCATCAGATCTGCCCATCACCCTGGTCTACAATATCCTACTACTAAGTACTAAGGAGCAATACTATACCATTAGAATATAATTTCTTACCTTCCAACATGGCCAGATGCATGGCATCATTAGCTCTTTTAGGAACGCTGAGCATCACCTCCAAACCATCTTTGATCTCCCCTTTACCCTCCTCACAGCAGGACAGCAACTCCTGCAGGGAGAGAGGAATTCAGATTTTTCACACAGAATGAAAAAAAGTAAAAGTTACCTGGTACTGACGTGTATTTGTAGTACTGTACCTTCAGCAGTAGTTGGTACTTGGTGATCCTCTGGACTGGTTTGATGAGGTAGGAGGAGATGGAGTTGGCCAGTCCACGTCTCTGTTGGATCTCCTACAGTCAACAAGGAAACAATCCAAATGAACACATTAGAGGGTGAAGTCAACGCGAAAAGTTTGAATGGTCAAACGGCTCCACCTGCTGCATATAAGGGGAATTACAAAAACATAACAAGACTATTTGCAAACTTGAATGTAAGCTAACAACAACATTTGGAAATAAATAATTTTATTTATTATTACAAAAAACAGTTTATCTATTTAAAACCGAATTAAGCATGTCCATTGAATATACAAGTAATAAATAAATAAAAAAAGCAATAATTGTTTGATTGAACTTTTGAATTAAGATCATAACAAATAATAAATACTGTAACTTGATAAACTCACGTCAAAGAAGGTGCCGGCGTGTTCCAGTACCAGCTGACTGGAGTCAGGTTTATTCTTACAGTAATCCACATAGATGTGGAACTTATCCGCCTGGACAGGACAAAGACAGTTATTATATAACAGTGGTTACAATTTTGGATTCATTCTAAAGAATTCTGGGAATAAGGCGCTGAATCTCACCCAGGTGACGAAACAGTGACCGACGTCTTCTGGCAGCTGCTCGTAGTTCACCAGCTCCTTTAGAAAAATACTGAAAAACACATTCAAAGGAATGTAATTTATGGTTTATAACTAGTTTCCAGTTAGAAATCAAAGCCTAAAGGTCAGAAAAATTAAATTTGTGACTTTAACACCATTAAGGGCTTTAAAAATGGATTTTGACTTTATTCAAGACGGTTTTTGCGTCTCTCACTTGTTGTGGAAGTCGTAGATCTCCTGCATGTTCCCGAAGATGATGTGCTCTTTGTTGACGATACCTGGGGGAATCTCCTCCACACCGCTGGTCATCTCCCACAGGTAGGTCTGACTCAGACAGGGACAATGACAAATGAAACGATATCCAGTGTCTAGTGCTGCGCGGTTTGGTGGCAGGTTTTTTTTTTCTTACCTCCAGACATTCCTGGAGATCTTTGACGTAGGACTTCTCAGTCTGCAGAAGCTCCGCCATGATGAACCTGTAAAAGATAATTGAAATGGTTTAGGCGGACCAACGGAAACACAGCGCGGAAGAATCAGATGGAATTAATTAAACTAATTGGTACAGTTTTTGCTGTTGTATTATTCTACTGATGTTCCTCCAAGACTTTCAGCTCTATCAGATGATTCATGACAGAGGAGAAGCATGTAGGAGAGGAAGCGGGGAGATTACAAAACCGTAACTTCGGCTATTATCCCAAATTTGTGTCTTTGATGTAGTAAAGAGACAGATGAATGTCATTAACGGACAGATGGAGGAATGAATGAGGAATGATTCGGTGAACGCATAAACCTCATACGCTGAGTGGCCACTTCATTAGATACACTGTCGGCTTTAGGAACTGAGATAATTCCCGGTGGCATGAGTTCAACAAGATGCTGAAAATGTGCCTGAAGAGTTTTTCTTCAGTGTTTTCTGGAGGAAATCAAAGCAGCAACGTTTCTGGACTCACTCCTTCTTTCTTGCAGACTTCCTTTTCTCCTCGCTGACCTCATGATTTGGATCACGAAGTTTGACTTCAGGGTCGTCTGTCAAGCTGGCAGGAATGATGTCCAACTCCAGGTCCTTGTTGTCCTGCACAGAAAAATAAAAATGAACTCTGGTCAATTTTATCATGGCACAAATACCAAAATAAATTGTGATACTTGTCATGTTTGTGAGCAGCATGTAGGATGGAAAGGTCAGATTTTAAACCACTAGAGAATTTTCTAATTATGACTGGATATATATATATATATGTGTGTGTTTGTGTGTTCACCTCAGAGCTGATCCCCAGACTCCGCTCCAGGCTCTCCTGGTATTTGGCCATGCGTACAGAGAAGTCCCTGTACCTCCTGTCCACCGTGCTGACCCATCTCTTCAGCTCTGACACGTGAGCGTGTCCCTTCTCCACCAGGTTGTCTGCTAACTGAATCAGAAGCTTCACCTTCTCCTTGGTTTGCTGTTGAACATCGATTCATAGATTAAATAAATAACTTTGACATTTAGCTATTTTGTTATATTTTTGAAATTTCATGATTATCTCTCAACAATTACTATATATTTCTTTTTCCAATAACTGATTCTTGTTCCTGTGTTTTAGACCTTGCCTTGGCTAACTGTTCGTGTTTTTTTTGTTTTGTTTTGTTTTGACCAGAATTATAGCTACATTTAACTAATCTTGCTCTAATCCTGTCTTTCTTGATGTTGTGCAGGGGTAGCATTTGGCTTTTTCCTTTAAATGAATTTGGGCGTAGTGGACTTTTCTTTTCAATATTATTGGCTGTCTTCAGCCGAATTAGCCTTGTCTTTAAAATCGAAGCTACCCTGTAAATCAAAGGTGTCAAACTCATTTTGGTTTACGGGCTGCAGACAACCTAGTCCAGTTGGCCGGACCAGTACAATCATAACCTAATTATCTATGAATAACAATAAGTCAATTTACCACCTTTGTTTTCATGCAAATAAGTACAAGTATATTAGATATTTATTATTGTTTGTGTATTTTTTTATTTTTTCAAATTCATCAAGTGGGCCGGGTTTAACACCTTAGCTCATGTATGCTTGACACCGCAGGTCTAAATCTTTGCTATTTGTCTTTCTATTTATTTTTATTTCTGGCTAAGTTATAAAGCCAGCAAATATTGGTTGAAATTAACTACACTTAGTCGTCCTATGAGAAAGTGCAATAGACACTGTTTAAAAGGCGTTATTTAAAAAAAAAGATAAATAAAGAGTCACACACAGACAGAGCCATGTACCTTTGCAGACAGCTTGAAATGGTAGTGGTTGTTGAGGAGTTCCTGCGTCTCCTCGTTGCCCTCACCAGGTGATGTGTGTGTGGCCAAGTAGACCTCACCGGTCTCCTGGATCCAGTCAAGGGCCTGCGGTACAAACAGCAACAAGGTTTCATCATTTATAATGATGCACTAAAACCAGATGTTCTCCCTGCGTACTTCAGACACACCGACCTGCTTGGCGCTGCGTTCAAACACCACGTACTGCTGACACTGGTCCAGCCTTCGCTTCTTCAGCGTCCAGAAGTGAAGAACTCGGTTTTCTCTCTGCAAGAGCTCATTCAGGATGGCTGAAGGAACACGGGAAAAAACACAACGTGAGGTCATTTTCCTTTCTATTAACAAAATGACAATGAGCGTTAAAAAGTCATAAGGCTCTGGACTGGTGCAGTTAAGCATATGTTATCGTAACATGCACTGTAGCTATCAAAATCAGATTAACGTTAACAGGACGTCCACAGACATAACTCATCAAGTCCTTACAAAAGTGTTTATATTTCCCTGATGTTGCTAGTTTTTACCTGTAGTAATGTACTATAATCAGCAGCACTGACCTTTGACCTGCTGCTCAGGCCCTCTAGTGTGACCGGCCGCTCCAGGCATGCTCACATTGTTCCTGTGAATGTACTTCAGGAACACTTCGGCGTTCCTGCGAGCCAGAGTGCAGGCCTGTAAAGAACATGGTTGGTGATAAGGTCATAAGGTCGTCCACATTTGTTTGTCATTCTTAATAATTCACAAAAACGTAACACTGAAATATTACTGACATTTTGACAGGGGTCAGATATGTGGCGTTTGAAGCCGGAAAATTGCCCCCGACCCGGGACTTTGTGACCACTGTTCTTAAGTGTCTATAGTGTTCTAATTTTAAATGTACGTGATGTGATCTGCCATGGAACTTGGGAGACTCAGACACTTCAATGTGTTAGCCATTGACAGGCTGTGGTTGCAGAGTATTCATGGCTAAATGTGATTTTAGTTGAACATCTGATTACATCATTGGATTAAAGTGCCTCCAAAGTGAATCAATGTCTCTCCAAGGCATGGGCTAACGAGGTCTTTTCCCAAAAGTAATTTTCTTCCCATGCCCTTTGACTGAATTTGCTGTGGTGTCACCTATGTGAGTTTGGAAAAGACCTTCACTGAATTTTCTTCTCACCTTAAGAAAAGCCTCCTTCTGCTCCAGGTGTTTACTGATCAACGGCAGGAGATGGTCACTGTCGGTAGAAGTTCCCAGTTTATCATGGCTGCCGCACCAGTCTTCGTCCCGACGGTATTCCTGCTCCAGACTTTCCAACACACTGCAGACCTGGACGCATCAAAAGACCAGTTTCTGTCATCTCAATCATCTCGACAAACTACCAAACCTCTACTTTAGGAAACACTTCGTACCTGCTCCGACGTTTTGTAGAAGGCTACGGAGGCGTTGACAAGCTTCAGGCGGTCCTCCATCTTCAGCATCAGCTGTTGCCAGTGGACGGCCACTTTCTCGGCACAGCCTCGGATCGCCTCTGGATCGTAGTGACCGGCCTGGAGCATCATCTGGAACCAAAAAGGGAAAGAAATCATACTCTGTACAAGTTGATAAAAACATGATCTAACAACACACTGTTGCTTAGTAACCAAAGACAGTTTGCTCAGTGAACAATTGCCCTACTTAACAATACACAACACTTGACAATACTTTTCTACTGAAAGTGTTCCTGAAAACTGGAAAGGGTATATTACACGCATTATAAGAGTGAGTTTTGCTATAAGGCATACGTGTCAAACTCAAGGCCCGGGGCCAAATGCGGTCCGCCAAGCATTTTGTGTGGCCCGTGGGAGCTTAAGAAGCACTTAGTAAATGCAGCAAGGATTTAGTAAAGTCCATGCAGCAGAAATTAAAAGCTTAACCTATGAAATTAAAAGTTTTTTTCATACCCAAACAGCAATGAACAATATTTGTAGCTTGAATAAATCATAATCAATTGCAGAATCGTGTATTTATTTGTTATGGAGTAGTTACATCTATATTAGCGGTCCCTGACCTTTTCTGTTCCAAGGACTGGTCAGCCAGTACCACCTGTTACTACAGAGCAGTAGCAAGATTTTGATTTTGATCTTTTAGACTCTATTTTGTTAGTATCAGAGTCTGAATGACATATTATTTTAAAATATTGCCAGATTATTGTTAAATAAAGGAAGTAAATGGATATGACTGGATTTTCTTTGAATGAAGTAAATTAATTAAAATTAAGTTTTTTAGTTTTATTTTTTAACTGTGTCCCACTGCGGCCTAGTACCAAAAGACTTATGGACTAGTACAGGTCCACGGACCGGGGGTTGGGGACCCCTGATCTTTACAACCGGCCCTTCAAGAGGAATTGTATTGCTGAAAATGACCCTGTTATAAGGCAAGGTAGTCAAACGTTGGGCTTAAAAAAGTCAATATTTATTTGAAGGCTGGTGCTTGGTTGTAACCCTAAGTATTGAGTATAAACAACAAAACTACTATTTACCTCTGCCTTCTGCTGACGCGGCGGGGAGCTGTGAACAGGCTCTC